CCTGGTTGTTGAAGAAGAGAGCTTAGCCTTCAGGGTTTAGGGTTTAGGGGAGTGATGGGTTTTTGATGTTCTGCGTTTTGACCCCAGAAGTATCCCCTTCAGGGGTTCATATAGGGTTCTGAAAGAGGGCTTCAACAAGGTTTCTATGAGGGTTTCGGGATTTTTATGGGTTCTACATGAGACTTGTTGAAAGGGGTTTGTGAGGTTCTACGAAGGCGTTTCCAGGCTGCTGTTGGGCTATACGGCTGGTACTGGTTTTTGGGCTTCGCGGTGCTACTCTTTTGCCTTTGTGTTTCGGCACTCGCCTCTTGAACAAAGAGCTGAAGCCCTTTCGCCCTAACCTTCCAGGTACCGACTATATGGGTGGTTGTCAAAATTACGGTCCCTTTTGGGGTACCCTAAATAATAGGTGCCGTATTATAATAAGGACCCAAAAAGGCACCATAGTTTTGACAACCACCCATATAGGGTGCTGGAGTCTCTAAGGCCCTATATAGTAGGTACCTGGAGGGTTAGGGTCGGGATTAATTCAAACCTTGGTTCAGGGTTTGCATTGGCCGATTAACAAAAGGACCCTGACTTGGTCTGCGTCGGACGGCCTTTAGGGTTTAGGGTTTAGGATTTAGGGTTTAGGATTTAGGGTTTAGGATTTAGGGTTTAGGGTTTAGGATTTAGGGTTTAGGCCTTTGAATACACAGGATGCCATGATGCCCTTATCACAGGCATACTAGGGAATGCGGTTGTTCAGGGCTGTCAGGGGGTGTTTAACTTTGGGGCCTTTGCAGGTAGAATAGGGGCTTGGGGGTTTCTACTAAAGGTATGATTAGAGGCCAGGTTTCCCTGTAGTATCCCTTGGAGCCTTTTGAAACTGGTCCGTTGGAACGTGGTGACGCTTGCTATCAAGGGGGGGGGTGGTTCAGGGCTTGCAGGGGCGGTAATATAGAAGTCCAAACAATTACCCATATTATTCCAGAGGGTTCCTAAAAAATAATCATTACAGGAGCCCAAAACCCTATTCTAGTTAATAAGGCCCCTACATTACAGGATGTTGCAGTCTAGGGTGTCGGCTTTGATTATACGTTCGGGAGTGATGATCTGTAGTTGTCTGTACTTAGTAGAGGAGTTAACCCCTTTGTCTTGTTTTCTGAACGTCGAAACACCGTAAAGCCTAGCCGGAACATTTAAGAGAATCACAACAAGGAAGTCCAGGAATGTATGTGTTGTAGGAAAAACCTTAGATTCCGAACGCCTTTATAGAACAATGCAAATCCCAAAGCACCAGAAAAGCACCCTTCAGAATCCTCGAAGTCTCATCGAATCCTTTATGGATTTCGTAAGCCCTGGGAGAACCCTGCAAGATCAGATCTTGAACGATTGTAAAGCCCTCTAACGTAGTAAAGCCCTGATGGCAACCTAGTACCGCAAAAACCTATAGAACGCGAGGTGAATGGCTGGCAGAGCTTTAGCTTCAGCCACCCGCCAAAAAGAGGGTTCTATACGGGTCTCGTGATGGTTCTTTGGTCATTTTAGTTGGCCTGTGGCAATGAGTGGTAGATAGGGTGCTCTAGGGTTGATGGCTGTAAGGCCCTGCTACTGCTACTGCTACTGTAGACTGTTTCTGCTGCTGCTGCTACTCCTCATAGTACTTTTATTGTTGCTATTACTATTCCTACTACTCCTACTACTACTGCTACTACTACTACTACTACTACTACTACTACTACTAATAGACGGGTACCATTACTGCTGCCACCGCCGCTACTCCTGCCGACTTCACCGTGACGCCAACACCCTGCATGCATGCGAGGCTCTTATTTAACCTGAAACTGTAAACCCCAAACCCCATGCCATATACCACTCCTTGCAAGCTGTACAAATTCTTAACACCCTGAAAACCTTGTCAGGACTCGCATGGGAACTACCACATGGTTTTTACTAGAGTTAATACCCTGTTGGAGCTTTGTTGACCAACTTTGAGGCGGTACCCTCCACGGTGCAGTGAAGCAGCCGCGGACCACCATGCCGTCATCGCCTCTGTCCAATGCAGGGGGTCTTGTTCCCGTAGCTATATTCCGCACCAATGGTTCTATGAGGGTGGGAATACCATATCCTAATTACGAAGGCTCCTATACTTGACGGTTCAGCCTTTATGCTTCTTCCGCGCTCACACTTGCTGTATATGTTTGAAGCTTTGTCCGGTTCAAACTACCGTACTGTTGATGAGCTTGACCCATGAAAGGGAGTAGGTCTATATGATGAATCCCGGTGTTTACGCTTCCATAACAGCTAGCAGCTAGCAAGAAGCATGGTGAAGCATGGGTGAGCTCGCCAGTTCTTCCTGAGATACCGTCTTCGTTGGAAGCCCAAAGCCCTTAAACCCTAAACCCT